AATCAAAAGGAACAAGGGCCCAGCGCAGTTTACCAAAGAAAGTTAGTCCTTTTTCATGCTTCCCCCCACCCCAATTGCTATCCAATTAAAACTTGGTGTCTCTAAATTTTCAGTTTTCAAAAAAAAAAAAAAATGCATCCCCCCCAAATTCCATATTAATTAGATAACATTATTTTCTACATTTTTAACTGTCAAAACAAGTTCATGGGTGTTAAGAAGATGCAAAAAGGCACATTTTCTAAACATGGTCACGAGGGTAAAAAAGGTCAACCACCGAAAAACATCAAAAGTTGTACACTAAAGGCTTTTTTTTTCCATCATTGACTGATGAAAAACAAAGTATCTCAAATGATGGGAGCAACTAAGTTCCAAAAGGTGTCTCATTTGTTCAACTCTGCAAGCAGCCAATCATATGGTACCCTCCGAAAAGAAAGCCAGTATTAGTGCTTATTGAAACCTCGTCTTTTAAAACCACAATATTCCGTGATACTTGAAAGCTGTGCGTCAGAACAGCTGTCGCTCTGGGCTGCTTTCAAATGAAGCGATGAACGGGTTTCTCCACCTTAACATGTGCTAGGGCCGCTGCTCCCTGCTCACGGGTGGACTCCAACAGCCAGAGCGAGATGATGTCCCGTCAGCCCTGCGATGACAGCAAAACAGCCGGGGGCGGCCCAGGTAATACGTGCAACAATCCCTTCTTCCACACGCACGCACGCACAAGCGCCGCTGTTAAGCCGTCTGAGGTGAGCGACGTCTTTTGTGGCGTTTTCAATGCCTTGACGACTCATCACGTGTCCGTAGTGTATGACATAAACAAGATGACTTTTGAAAAATGACATCGTTCCAGGCAAATTGTGCCTGTCGAAATGGGCCAGGAGGAACGAGTGACCGGGACACAAATGGATCCCGGGAATTTTCATTGTTCGTTTTTTTGGAGGGGTGAAGTTCTTCCTCAGCGACTTGCACAACCGGCATTATTAGATTGCATCGGAGGGCTTCTTGTTTACCCAGTGGCCTTTCGTTCCCGCTCAGTCAGCACTTTTAAGAGCGTGTCCAAAGATGAACTGTGCCGGTATGTCGCTCTGTGCTTGCAGTGGACGCGGAAGGTCTACACATTGCTGTTCAACAAAACAAAGCATGAGACCAAGATAAATCATGTTACCACTGTTTAAGGTCACTGTACAACTCCATTGAGTTGAAGAAAAACAACAACAACAAAAATCCATATGTTTACGAGGGGGGAAGGTAAAAATAATCAGCTGAAGTCATGCGGTTGCACAAGTGTGCGCTCACTCTCCCGGAACTCCAGTGATCAGAATCCACTCTCACAGAATTCAAACTAGTGTCAGAGGGACTCGGTTCACATTACGAGCGCCTCTGATGACCGCCGGATAAAGTTCAGATGTTCTTGCAGGCGCAGGCGTTTGCCGACTTTTCTGGCAGAAGCCTCGAAGGTTTTGTGTGAACGCCGACTGTTCTTGGGAACCGTTTAGAATTCCTTTCGCCTTGTCCAAGGCCCCACCGTTTGCTCATTCTGCCACGTGTTTGGGAGTTTGTTATGGCGCGGCAGGTAATCTTTCGTCTTCATTCCACTAGCCTGCACAAATAAAGCAGACGTTTCTTGACAGGTGATTGACACACACACACACACACACACACAAACACAAAGTGCCTCACTCCGTCAAGCGAGGGTGCTCGTTAAGCCTGCCGGTGTTTAAAGTCCAATGGAAGGACAAATACTTGCCTGCTTATTCACGCATTAAAGCCTGTGACAACACAATATACGCGCCACCGAAAATCAACACGGCCTCCGGCGAAACAAACAAGTTGCGTCATATTTAACAATGCGTTTTTTTTTTTCTTGTTGACATTCCACGCACATTTCTCCATGCACACGAAGCAGTGAGGCATCTTGCTTCGAGATGTTTATTTGTCTAATTTGTTCTGGCGAATGTCCGCGAGCATCGAACGCAGAACGCCGCAGTCAAGATAAGACAAGGGAAACGCGGCGACTGCGGTCCTTGGACCAACCGCCGCCGAACAGGGAAGGAGCGCGCGGCCATACTCACGGGGGCATCTTCTCTCCGCTCGTCCTCCGGCAGGCTGCAGCCGATTGGTGGCGGCGGCGGCCGCGTCGGCGTCGCTGAGCGGCCTGATGCTGGGCTACGAGATGGGCCTGACGTCGGGCGTGCTGCTGCAGCTGCGCGGCGTCCTGTCGCTGTCGTGCCGCCAGCAGGAGCTGCTGGTCAGCTCGCAGCTGCTGGGAGCGCTGCTCATCTGCCTGGCCGGCGGGCCCGTCCTGGCCCGCTACGGCCGCCGCCGCTCGCTGCTGCTGAGCGCCGGCCTGGTGGTCACCGGCACCCTGCCGCTCATGGCCGCCACCTCGCTGGCGGCCTTGGCGTCGGGCCGCGCGGTGGTGGGCATGGGCACGTCGCTGTCGGGTACGGCGGCGTGCCTCTACATCGCCGAGATCTCGCCGCGCGAGCGGCGCGGCCTGCTGGTGACGCTGTACGAGCTGATGCTGGTGGTGGGCGTCATGTTGGGCTTCGGCTGCAGCTGCGCCTTCGCCGCCACGCCCCGCGGCTGGGTGTACACCTTCGGACTGGTCATCCCTCCGGCGCTGCTCCAGATGGGCGCCCTGGCGTTCCTCCCGCCCAGTCCCAGGTTCCTGGTGGCGCGGGGCCAGCCGGAGCGGGCCAGGGAGGTTCTGGCGCGCATGCGGGGCGGCGCCCGAGAGCAGGTGGAAGAAGAGCTGCGGGAGATCCAGATGGGGCTGAAAGAGGAGTCGGAGCACAGCTTCGCCGAGCTCTTCGGCGCCAAGTCCAACATGCGCTCGCGGCTCCTGACGGGCGCGGCGCTGGTCTTCCTCCAGCAGGCGACGGGGCAGCCCAACATCCTGTCCTACGCGTCGCCCCTCCTGCGCGGCGTGGGCTTCCGCAGCGACGCCGCCGCCACCCTGGCGTCCACCGGCTTCGGCGCCGTCAAGGTGGCGGGCACCATCCCGGCCGTGCTCCTGGTGGACCGCGTGGGGCCCAAGAGCTTCCTGTGCGCGGGCGCGGCGGCCATGGGGATGTCGCTGGCGGCGCTGGGCGCGCTCACCCTGCAGAGTCGCACGCACCTGTCCAGCCTGTGCGTCAGCCAGCTGCCGTCCAACCGCACCGGCGCCCCGTGGGACCGCGACGCGGCCGACGCCGCCCAGCCGTTTCTCCCGAGCACCCCCGTCTGGCCGACGGACGGCGACAACGGGACGGTGCGAAGCGGGCCCGTGGACCACCGGTCCTCTTCGCTCAAGTGGGCGTCGCTCTTCAGCTTGCTGGTGTTTGTGGCCGCCTTCTCCATCGGCCTCGGGCCAAGTGAGTAGAGCGCCCGTTGGCTCCGAAGCCCGCCTTAGCCACGAAGCGGCCCTTCTCGAGCGCAGGGGTACAGACCGAGGTTCCTGTAGTTCACAAAGACTGACGAAATGACTCCGTTTGAGAACCACCGAGTCGAAGTATTTGTACTTTGCTGTGAGGGACAAACAAGTTGCGTCATCGAGCGCCGCGACGGGCAACTTGACATGCCAGGTCTGTTTTTTGACTCGCCAGTGGTGTACGTGGTCCTCAGCGAGATCTTCCCGGCGGGCGTCCGAGGGCGAGCCGTGTCGGCGGTGTCGGCCATCAACTGGGCCACCAACCTACTCATCTCAATGACCTTCCTCACCATGACGGGTGCGTCGACGCTCTCGCCTCCTCCCGTGGAAATCTCCTCAATCGGAGACCGCCGCCAAGGCGCAGTGAACGAAGCGCACGACACGCTGCTCCAAACATGAAATTCACATTTCAAAAAACTTTTGACGAAATGCAATTAGGGGGGAAAAAAAAAAAACATTGGTTCATCTTTAACTCATGTCAGGACGGTTGGGCACAGTGCGGTGCTGGAGCGCTACAGTCATCAGCAAGAATTTACTGGGCCGCCGCGAGCGCGACGCACGTCAATGTTTTTTTTTTCTTCTTCCCCAGAGAAAGTAGGCGTTCCAAACATGATGTTCCTGTACGCCGCCCTGAGTTTCGTCCTGCTGGTGTTCGTCATCCTCTGCGTGCCCGACACCCGCGGACGCACGCTGGAGGAAATCTCCAAAGAGCTGGCCAAAAAGTGAGTCGCGTGGCGGATTGGAGCGCTGCTGCGAGGCCGACTTGTCGCGCAGCCTCATCTGCTTTTTCCTCATTTATCCAGGAAGCACTTTGAATTCAGCCTGTGCAAAAAGGTCCAAAATCCAGCGAGGAGCGGCATGTCCGGGGAGATGGCCCCGAACATCCTGTGACCGACGGACAAGTGCACTCATCAAATGAACGTTCGATGGAACAAAACACCCTTTCTTCTTCCGACACACTTGGCTTTCTATGACTTAACACAACACGTCCTTCTGTTCATGACACACGATGCCGTCTATCTTGGGCTTTGTTTAGTTGTTTTTTTTCTCTAGGTACGATTTTTATTTATGTGTAATATGCTTGAATGATTTCAGAAAAAAATTGTTTCCACACTTGGGCAATTCTAACGGTCAAACTGTATAATGTTGCGGTGGTGTATATCTTGAAATTGGCTTTTTAGTCTTTTTTTTTTTTTTTTTTTTAATGACCACTTGACCTACTCCATGACTATTTTAATGCTGGCCATTATGGTGGTACCGGTCGGTACTTTTGAGTACTTTTCAAAGTGGTACTTTGTGTCAACAGTTTCTGGGTGCGCTCAATTCCAAAGTGGCAGAACAGCACCATCTTCAGGACTGGGAGAGTCTTTGCAGGCAGTGGTTTCAAAAGTGAAATTTCACAGACCCGTGGAAAGACATTATGTACTTGACGTGCGTGTATATACATTGTTCCGGGCGATCAATTTAAACGCCCGCGGCAGTGAAGGCGTTGCAAAGGCAAATGTCCATCCAACATTAAAATTTGGGATTCTAAATCAACGTCGACGTCCGCTTTGTTTCTATTCCGCCATTCTCAAAGACAGACGGCTGCTTGATTGATGACATCTTTATTTTGATATAAAATACACAAGAGTCACACATCTTTTAAGTGGCGGTAAAACATGGCAGAGCCGCGCCAAGAACGTCGCCCTCGAATGGCTCCGAGCCATTTTTAAATGAACTGGATGTCATCGACCGCAGTTAAGAGTAGTGAGTGGGTTAGATATTCAAAAGCCGTCTCACCCGTCGCGTCAGCACCACGTCAACCGTAACGGAGCTTACGTTTCAAGTTTGTAGCTGTTGAAATCTTCTCAAGCCGCATCAAGACGTATACTCAAAAGTTATCCTGCACAGAGTCGATCCTCGAATAACAACAATACAAAATATTTACAATTTACAGCGAGTGTGTCCAAATGTACAAGCGTTGAGTGTACGCCGCCGCCGTCGAGTGAATAGCTGACCGTTAAGAGATGAAGAGATGTTTTGTTGTTTGCCGTGGACGGAGAAAACGGTCAACTTCCTGGTTGATTGCGCGGATGGCAGGGCGGCGGCTATCGAAGGCAAGCGCTTGCGTTTGTGCACTTCTGAAACGACTGCGAGTCCACAAACAGCGGTCCGTGTCGGCATCCGTTGCAAAAGGCGCCGCCCGTCAGAGGACGACGACGACCTAGGCCGAACCGGAAGCGCTTCTCACTTGCAGAGCGGCTTCTTGCACTCAAAGAGGAGCGGGTACACCTGCTCCACCGCCGTGGCCACGTTCTGCACGTTTGGTCCTGGCGGGGTCAGAGCGTCGCGGTGAGGAAGAAGCAACAAATCAAGAGCCCGGGTGGCAGCGTGGGAGCGTTGGCTCCCACGCTGCCATTCCTCCGGGGATCGGGATGACCGATGCAATGTGACCTTGAGTTCTGAGCTTCTCGTTGCCCGCTGAGGTGCGCGCGTGGACGGTACCTGTGACTGTGAGGCTGCCCGTGGAGAACACCTGGATGGTGGCCTTGATGGTTTTGATCCTGTAGGTGGCGGCGGGGTGGAGCTCGGGCTCGTAACTGACGTCAAACAACAACAAGCACATTGAGTCAGGAGCTACGTTTCCATGCCGCCCAGGGACAGCCGTTTGTTGAAAATGACTGGGGCTGTGGTCCGAGCACTGGAGCAGTCAATTTGTGTCATTCATTATCATGTTGGTGTGACATTTACAATAAACCCGGCTGAGCAGAGGTCTGCGTGTGTGCATGTGTTTGAGGAAGGGATGGGGTGATGATTATGCGTGCCCATGTGCATGATGTGGCTCTTTGCAGTAACACAGTCAAAAAAATTGTCTCTTAGTCTCGGACTTGGTTGGCCACCCCCCCGCAGGTCGATGGCTCCCAATTTCTTCTTCCCCATCTGGCCACTAGAGGTCAGACTAAGTCCATTTATTTCCAGAAGCGACGAGCACGGTGCCCACTCACCTGGCAATGGGCCGGTTCTTCTTGGTGAAGTCCACCAGGTGGATGGCAAAGGGCATGGAGCACACAGCCAGCACGTTCACCACCTTGAAGGCCGAGAACCTCACCTGAACACAACACGTTGCAACCTCAAATATCGCCCGTCACTGTATCACCCACCCCCCGCCCCCTTCCCCTGCGCAGTCCCGCTCGTCTCAGAAACATTTTCCCGTGTGCCGAAATGTTGACAAGACATCAAAAAAAGTCTTTACATGAGTTTCAATTCCCAAATCAGTCACCTGAGTGCAATGACAGTAATTGAGGAAAGGCTTTTTTCTTTTGTCAAAGGCGAACATGATACGGACGTGCTGAAAGGACGAATGTCAACAGTGAATTCTCAGTGAGTGGCAAAAGTGACGATTCCCACCTTGAAGCCGATTTTTTGCAGGCATCGTGCCAACCGGCGAGCACCCTGCTTCGCCTCTTCTTCGCTGAAAGACAGAATGGAGCGGGAGGGGATTATACCGGCACTAAGGTCAAAAGCTGATCCACAAAATGCCTGCTAGCGCACTCAATCCGCATTTCTTTTCATGCCGGTCAAAGCACCTTCAGCTTCCACATGATGCTTACGTGACCAGTCATGTCTACCTTGTTGCTCCGGTGCAGATAATTTTCCCAGAGGACCAGATGGAAGCGGTGATCTTGGGTTTACGGAGCTTCATGAGGACTTTCTGAAACATGCACGCACGCACACAGTTTGGGATTGTATTTACTTGAAACTCTATGGCATACCTTTACCAAACAGGTCATGCTTTTGTTGCCCAAGCATGCCGTTTAGACCCAAGTAGCAACTTTTGGCATCACCACAATGAACGCTTTACGTGATAATTTGGAGCACATTTGAGGTGAGCATGTTGCTGTGGCCTTCAACAAAAATTCCAATTTCTCACATGGCCTTTTTGGAAAATTAACTAAAGAGCATATAGCGAAAAAATAAAAAATACATCTGCGGACCTAGCATCGACCCTTGTGGAACACCACCAATATCAACAGAGGTCCTCTATTTTACAACAGAGTTACATTTCTACGGCATGACAGAAATTTGCAGGCAATCAAACAAAAGCATGTACCTATCTTAAGTCGCGTGACAGTCATAAAGCGAGGAGGACACTTTGCACACGTCATTTGGAGCACTCGAATCCCAAACATCCTTACCCCCACCTCCGGCTTGTAGATGACGTTGGTTCCCTCCAGGGCGATAGTGCGCAGGTTGAGGTGGCACCTGGTCCTGAAAGTCGCCACCACATTGGTGATGATGATATCCAGAGTGTCATCGTTGTTGGAATCCATGAAGGAAGTGTGTGTTTGTGTGTGTGTGTGTGTTGCACGGAGAGGACCACAAGGGGCTCACTCCTCACTCGTCCACCATCGGCATGACGATAAGCGCCTGCGGTGCAGGTTCAAGCCTGAGGGAAAACAAAGCTACTGTTTAGGATCATTATGTCGCCTTGATAACTTCACTGAGGGATTAAATATAAAACAATTTGCAACGGGGAAGTTAAGATAAGCAACTGAGATAGTGTTGTTGCACAAGTGTGCACAACCACTTGTAACTGGGGATGTGTCGGTGTGCAGAATTGACCCATCACATCCAGACTCCTGTTAAATGGCATGTAGTGCACATCTGCCAACATTTAAAGTGTCTCTGATGAAGACTGAATAGAGTTCAGAAGCTCTACTAGGCTTTTCCTGACAGTTTTGTAATTACATTTTAGGGCATGAGCAAAGCTTGCCACGTCAAGTTGTGCCACAGCGATAATGTCCTACCACAAAAGCCAGAATTTTGTTTAAAAAAAAAAAAAGCCAAAGGTGCAGTCAGTTTGAGGCTGTTGCATAAACATTAACGGACCTTTTTTTTTTTTTGCCTTTCCAAACATGTTTTGTGTTCTATTGGCCAGGAGAAGGATACAGGCCACTCTTAACCTACCTCCATTCCTATCGCGTTACCGACTAGCAGCTGAACCGACCTCCCTGACTGCTCAATTTATCCATCCAGCGATTGACCAAACGATCAAGGTTCCCTTGCAGCTGACCGATGTGACCATCTTCCTCCATTCTTCCCAAAAACTTTGGAGATCTGCCCAACATAGCCACCAACCTACCTACCATCTAAGCTGCATCACAATCAAGCAACTTACCGAGACATGAAGATGTTTTCTATTTTGTCTTCTTTAATTAAGTATCCGGCTTCCCCCCCACCCGCCTGATGTTGAGTCACTCGCTAGCCCGGCAGCACAACAAGCGCGCGTCGTCCGTCGTCCCTTTACTACAAAAGCTCAACGCGAAGCGAATTAAAGCGGCGAGCGTGCACATCACAGGTCCATCTTGCCGCAGCGTTTCGTCTCATCAGCTCCCAAACACAAAGACTGTGTTACACTTGGCTCTTGTGCTTTGTGGGAACACTCGGGGGCTGCCATCGCGACCCTCCCGTCCCAATAATCAGCGCAGAGGCTTTGATGGATAAACGCAATAGTCGAGTTGGAACGAAATTGCGCACATTTACGCCCGAAATGACGTCAACCTCGGGCTTGATGTATCGGTTAGCTGGAAGGCTCGGCTATGCTAGGCTAAGATCGGTTGCGGAAGGGCTGAGCGGGTTAGGGTTAGGATTTAGTGAGCGTTATCCGCTGTAAACTAGCTCAACATTTGGGACACCAAAGATCGTAGCGTTGTGACTTCAAAATAAAACCACCGGCGCGATATGAAGTATGAATGAAGAGTCGTTAGCATCTGGAGCTAGCAGACTAGCCGCCTTCAGATGTCGCTGAGGATTTTCCATTGCGTGAGGAACGTTTTGTTTTCGTGCTGCCTTTGAACTGTTTTCGATACCTCGTCCGCTTCTCAACGCGGGAGCGGGGAGCCCTCGGACTTGGACGGTTCCCGTCAACCGGATTGTTCGCTCCCTTCTCGCAGGTTGCGGAAAGAAAATACGAATGACTGCGCCACCTCGTAAAACAACTTCCGGGTGAAGTTTACAAAATAAAAGTTGTACACGCGACCCACATCAACGCGGTTTCCGGCTTCAGCCTTCAGAACAATAGCGGTCAACGTTCTCCGTTGAGACGAGCGATTTGCACATGACGTCGTCCAATGACGTAACACATTACAGTATAGTACACGAGAGCCACGAAGAAATGCAAATGGCTGGAAGCCATGAAGGACTATTTACATTTAAAAAACAAACAATACGCGTTGGTGTCAGATGCATCAAATGAAGACCGGTTTGGGTCTTTGCAATTGAAAACATTTATGCAAACAAGCAATTAACGTCAAACAATAACGCAACGCATTATATATAACAGGATAGGATGCAAAATGATTTGATTAAAAATAAAAGGAGAGGCACGCTAGCAACAAAATCTACAACCAATATGCACAATAGGGCGAGCATATGAACCTTTTTTTTGAGTATAGGTAATATCTCTTTTTTTTAGAAAGTGGTTGACCGTTCCTCCGAATAAAATAAAGCGCGAGTGAGTTATTGTGTTGACCAACGTTTCTCAAACGCCAACGTTACACTGAGCTCAGCTCGCGTAGACGCCATTGGCAGACAACGTGGTGGCGCGTTCCCTTAACGTGTTTACTCTGCGCCTGACGTTTAAAATGTGGCAATTTAACGCCGTCTCCAAAAGGGGGGAGAGGGGGGAGGAACATCTGCTCTGAAAAAGTTCTTGAGTGGCTACAAAACCAAAGAGGGGAGCCGGGAAACTGTTTACAAGCCAGTGGGAATGTTTGTGTTCTCAATGAGAGAATCGGGCCTCATGAATGAGTGTCGCGAAGAGAAATCTATCTTTATAAGTCACATGCAATCTGCGCGAGAACGCCCTTGACATGCCCCGAGATGTTTATTGTGAAGGTTTACGGACGACACAAATTTTTTCATGAGGTCATACCGCACAGAAAGTAAACACGCAGATGTGAGCACTTGCGTAGCATCGCTTGCAGATACGAGTGAGAATAAACAACAGGTCCATCAAGGAGACGCGGTCTCATTGACGGGCCGCAGTCTCTCTCGAGTGCGGCTTTTCACCGATCCGAGAGAGAGTTGGGCCGAGAACGGATCCCCGGAGCGGCGGTGAACCGCGCGCGCCGAGATGGTCTGTCATCGTAAAGACCGCGCGACAAAGACGAACGGCGTGTGAGTCAATCCAGCGGCGTGCCGGTGCAGCTCTGGATTCTGCCAAGTGTAAACAGAGACGTGGGAACGAGCGGGCCTGTTTACATCATCGCCATTCTTCGCGGGACCACCGGACCACACCGCACGCACACCATTCAAATGGCAACTTTTTGTGCAGAGTTTCATATTCACCTGCGCTGGGCTCCATACTTTTCAGGCTCGCGTACTCGCTTTGCACAGGACCGCCGCATCCAGTGAAGAGTCTGCAACGGTTGCCATCCGCGACTTGCCGCCATCTCGGGTACGTCACCAGCCACGGCCGTAAGCGGGAGTGGCCGAGCCAAGCCATTTGTGAAGAGGCGAAGCTGATCGGAACAGACACAACAAGAGCAAAAAAAGCATCCAACGTGTCGTCCTTCCATAATCGAGGAGTCGACGTGCGGGGGGAACAAATGGTGCTCACGCCATGGCGGCAGATTTACGGCGCTAACATTAACACACCTGCGCAAACGTCGAGGAGTGCGTAGCCATGTTTAGACTAGCGTTGCAAGCGATAACGTTGACACATGAGCAATCCGTGGCTTGGCTCCAAAGCGCACCGAATAACGATTCCGATTGAGTAACGGCCCATCGCGAGCGCGTGCTGGCGGGCAGATTTTTGCTGGGATTTTTCTTATTAGCGAGTTGCATGATGGCGATTGTATTCCAAGGCCACCTGCTCAACATCCATCACAGGAATGACGTTGATTTCAGGAAATCTCGGCCATCGTTTATTTCAAGTTGAGTCATCCACCGAGTCTTTTTCCGCCACGCCCTTCAAACAACATCAGCGCACAATTTATCACCGACAGTTTTATTTCTCACCTCAATGAACGCAAATTTGTGTCAATAAGCAGTTGGCCACTTGATCCTTGAGTTGAGTGCGAACAGGACACAACAAGGTCGTAAGCGATGCCTGAGAATGGGCTTGTCGCTGGGGGGGGGGGGGTATTTAATGGGTAATAAAAAATGAGATTTTAACGTGTTGTTTTTTTTTTTCATTTTAAGTTTTTTCTTCCTGGGATGTTATTTATGTTTTAGGGTCATCTTCCCTCAGCAACACGTGCATGCAGAAGAATACAAAAATAACCACTAAAAATAAATAAAAAAGCACAATGAGCAATAAATAATCCAAAAGAAATCTTGACTTTTTTTTGTTAAAAATACAAATACTACAAATACTAAAAACCAAAAGTCAAAAGGAAAGCAAAATAAACCAAATACATTCCAATTAAATTCATTTAGTTCCAAGAAAATCAAAAGCTCCAGCCTCCATGCCTTACTGCGATACACAGAATATGAGAACATTAAAAAAAAAAAAAACATCGCTGAAACATTATGAATGTTGAAGGTAAAACATAAGGATGAACTATAATCAGAATAATAATAATAATAAATGAATAGACTACTCTATTTTCAAATAACATACTTTCAAATCGTATTGGTATTTTCTTGACAACATATATTTTTTAGTTTGTAAAATAAGAAAGTTTGTAAAATATCGCTTAATATAATAAGCGAATGACTAATTCAAGGACCATTTTCCCCACGACTTGGAAGCACGGATTTGCCCAAAACGACATTCCATTCCATTTGAATTAAGATTCCCAACCCAGTAGTGCGTGTGCGTGCGTACGTGCGTACGTGCGTGTATGTGTGTGTGAGAGAACTATGAGGAAAGGGGGGGGGGTGGTAGGTGATGAAATAAAAGGAAGGATGTTTTGGGGGGTGGTCCAAGTGTTTGAGGGGAGGACCGAAGGTGCAGAACGATGGTCGGAAGAGTGTGTGTGTGTGCGTGACTACACGTCGGTGTACATGCGTGTGTGCGTGTGTGCTGGTTGCATGGGAGATTTGTGCTTTTAACACACACACACACACACACACACACACACACACACACACACACACACTGATCTTTAAATTAATGGTCTCCTCGGGGAGTCATCCAAAGGCCACGGGCGTTTGGGAGAAAAGATTCTCGGAAAACGGCTTCATCGTGAAAACATTTGCTCATCGCTAACCACGTCTTAGCCATCCGCTAAGAGTGATGCGTGGGCGGCGAGGGTCCGTTTGGGGGGAAAGGAGGCGGAGGGGGGGGGGGGCAGCGCTAACGAAATCAACCGGCAAATGCCAAACTCGTGGCATTCGCTCAGCCTCAGAAGAAAAGATAAGACGACGACGAGAGAGAGAAAAAAAAGTTCTCAAGCTTCTTCTTCCGGCTAACTGCAAAGCAGGAAGCCATTAAACAGCGCGCCAATAAAAGCGTGTCAGTCAGATGTATCGCGCACTTCTCGGGGCCTGCGTGGAGATGCGCAGCAGCGACCTCCCATTCTTATCGCGCCTGCAGTTCACAAGCCGACACATTTCTTGCCGTGGAGTCGGCAACTTTCTGAGGGGGCGAGGTCATTTTCATCACGTGGAAGCGCGACGCCGGCGGATCTCTCGTACGTCAAGGCACAGCCGTGTTTCGTTCTTTCAAATAGTTGGGAATCCGGTCATCAAGGGGTTCGTCACGTCTTGGAGGATAAGACTGCAGAATTACACGAGAGCTATTCGACATTCGGGGCCCAGAGTTGTTCTTTTATGTTGTTGTTGTTGTTTTTGAACACAAGACAAATGCAAACACCAAACCAAGGTGGCTACTTTGTCATCAATTCACACATTTGAAATGTCTTTTGGACGCGCTTGTGCTCATGCTCTTATTTCAAGGTTGTGCGTGGCGTTGCGGGCAGACGACGACCTCGAGGCTTTTACATCTCAAGTGCTAGCGCGCAAGCGCCGATCTGTCTCGCGTCCCCAGCGAGCGCCCAGTCCAAGCCTCCGCAAAGGAAGTACTTGTGATGATGGATGCTGTTTTCCTCGTCCCGAGACTTGTTTTCGCTGCCTCCCCTAGGAACGGACTTGAGCACCGTACGCACGTACCGGCCGCTTCGTCATCCGCGTTTTGCAGACCGAGGCTTATTTTGAGCAAGGAGATGGATCGGACACGGCAATGCGCGAGCAATCGCATTTTGGTCTCTTCTCGCTCGCCGTGCCGCTGTTTTGACCCATAAGGCGCACGCAGATCAGCAGATAGCGTTGGGATGGTGGAGGAGGGAGGCCAAGGAAGGTTAGTTCATCCAAACAAATGCGCGACCGCTTCTTTTTACGACTGTCCCGTCAGCCATTACCTGCACGCTGAGTTATGCCCGAGTATAAATACAGAGCCACACCAAGCGCACAGATGACTCGGGGTGGGTGCGCGTGCGCTCACGGACGTCCTCACCAGCCGTCCACGTGCACACAAAGCAACGCAATCGGCCCGTGGGCCGCGGCCAAAGCACATAACCGCAAAAAGTTTATTCTCTTTCGATTTAGCACTAATGGACACAGAGCGCGGCTCGCGCTTTTATCTCGGCGCTCCATAAAAAGCCAACTAAACGACCCGCCGTCTCTCCGGTGGCCTTAGTCCAAATGGAACAATGAAATCGGCCGGAGCAACAGGTGGCGCTACTGCCGTTACGGGTTTACAGCCAAGCAGAAAGGGGAAGAACGCCACGACCGGCGAGTCAAAATGTGAGCGGGAGACCCGATAGGACAGGATGCTGCCTCCAGACGTCCATTGACTTTGCTTTTAAAAGATACGAGCTGCAGTTTCTTTTTTGGTTTGCTTTGACTCTTGAGCAAAACCTTTCTGTGAACTAAACACCTCACCTCACCGCAAAACATTGAAAAAAAAAGAGAAACAAGTGCACGTTTAGTATTTCCAACAACCACATGACTAAGCCTTGAGTTTGCTGGCTTCGTGCTGACAATTTGTACGAACGTACGCATCGCGGCGTGAACGGCCGATATGCGGCCGGCACCCGTCAAGAGGCGCGCCGTTTGGCGCAGCAGAGAAATGATCCGCACGGTTTATTGTCTTTAATTAGCATCCGAGGTGGAAAAGATAGATAAGGAGCGCCATTTAGCTGATGGATGTGATACGTATCACCCCCCTCCTCCTCCCCCCTCCCCAAAAGAGACAAGGTGTTGTGAAAAGCAGGAAGAAGAGTGTCATCAGTCATCATTACCTCCACCAATCACAAATGCACCATTATTGCGACCTGCCCCCAAATTCCATCTTTTAGAAGTTGTTTTGTGTCCTTCACCGCTCAAAATGGCTTCAATAGCAGCCCTTGCAATTTGTTCCTGAGCTGCGATTCCTGATGTGCCCGGAGCCCAACACGCCCTCGGGTGCGAGGGCAAAGAGCCCGACATCTTCTTCTTTTGCAGAGATGTATTACAGCGAACCCCCAATTGTCATGGAAGCTCCATTCAAGACGAACCGCAATGGACGGAAAGTGAAAGTAACTGGCATGGCAGATTTCGGGTGCCCCGTTGTTGGCACTCCATGACAAGCAGAGAAGGTGCAAAAAGGAATAGGAATTTTGTCCCTTTCTGTAGTCAGACAAGACAGCTAGCCGCGTTGTTGGCTGCGGGTGCACGTGCGGAGGCACCCGCCCGCTTGATAGACTTGCGAGATTTTCTTTCATCATTCCAATTTGGCAGGACTGTTCACAAACTGCAACAAACTCGTCTCTGTGGCGCATCAGTTGACGTGACATTTTCACAGTTTCAAACCCGATGCGGGAATTAGCACCAAGCGCTCAGGAAAGCACACATCTGTTTGCAATTTGGCCAGAAGGCGAGATGCTTTAGCATCTGTCCTCTGCGACTAAGTGGACTCGAGCTCAGGTCGCACTCACACGTACAAACAAACACATGCACACACTAATGAGCTGACACCCGCACACAGACAAGCACTTGTCTGCTTCCTGCCTGTGAGACTCGGGGTTCAGAGGATTGTGGGGCTCCCTTGAGATTAGTGTGCGTGTGTGCGTGTGTGTGTGTGTGTGTGTGTGCCAGGGCATCTTTTTATCATGAGTCACATCTCACCTCTTCGTCATCTCCGGTGAGCCTCCGGTAGCATTAGGTGGGCGTCTCATGGGAGCGTTGAGCCACACTCTGGTGAAAGCACAGATTAAACTGAGATGTCACATGAGGGTCTCGTTTAGGCCCACCGGAGCTTGGCAAAGATCATTTGTTAAGACGTTTCACCAATTGTTAAAAAAAAAGCATCCCATGTGAAAAACAAAGGGGGTGGGGGGTACATTAACTCCACTTTCATATCGTGTTTATACAAAAAGCGACTGGCCACTGGCCAGTCGCTTTTTGTATTGTAACTCCGAAGCGCACATCGTGTATTGTGAAATATTTGTACAAGTTACCTCCCTGTACATCAAGCTCTCTCTCCCCCTCCAGGGGGAGGAGTGGGCGAAGGTGGAGGAAGAGGCGGTAGCGGTGGAAGGTCGCCCAGGACGGATCTCCATCAGAGGCCCATCTCCCCGCGGGACCTGCGAGGAGGAACGGGGGGGAGACGGCTCATGTGGGTAACGTCTCCGAGCCGGTCAACACATCGGCCCTATCAGCCGTTGGAGCTTTCGCTTTATCCGCTGATGGGCGGCAGACCGCCTGCCAGACGCATCGCACATGAGCCTGCTGTTTGTTGGGCCGGCGCGCGGGAAGGCGGACAAGGCTTCCTTCGGGGACGACTCCTACGGAACCTCTTGATAGCGCAAACAAATGAGATCATGAGCCGAGGTCCATATCGGTGCCTCGTTGGGGAACTCAACCACGAGATATGACGATGCGGTGAGATCATAATTCAAGAGAAAAAATAAAAGTGTGTGTCTGGGGGGGGGGGGCTGAGAAAGACCGGCAAGCGTGGGTAAGGGAGGCACGCAGCGGACCTAAGATTTGGCACGCATGAAGACTTTTTAGCTAGAATGCGAGAATGTAAACAAAGGAATCAAATATCATAATACGAGTTAATTCATCAGAATCCCTTTTCTTCACCAAAGGCATCACGTAGACACACAAAAACGTGACTTGGCAAACAGCTCAAAAGCATCATACCATTAAAAATAGGACATAAAAGGGGCGGCGGGGGGGCCCCAGTTGTTTGGTGGCACCATGCTCTTTATTTCGTAAAAGCGTTTTCTTTCTTCATTTCCCTGACATCTCCCGGTAATTATTGGACACATTAAAGTGTGTGTGTGTGTGTGTGTGTGTGTGTGTGTGTGTGTGTGTGGAGAAGATCTGATATTATTGACGTCGTGTTGCCCGCAATGGCCCACATTGCCTACAGCGGCATGTACATTTGTAAATGTTTTTGTTTGTTTTTTTTTTTTTGCTTTTGCTTTTGCTTTTTATTTATTTTTGTTGGAGGCCGACACACTCTCAGTGTATAAAGTGCTTGGAAGTTGTTTGCATCTTGGCTGTAAACGTTTGTTTGTGCTCAACTGTTTTGACTCTGCGTGTTGTGGCTGGACTTCACGGCTCGGACCAAATAGAGGATGGACATGGGATTGTGGTGTGGGGGCGCGGGTGCGGATGGGAGCGGCGTGGGGGGGTCAGTTTGCAGCAAAGGATTTAGTGGAGTGCAGAAGGCTCACACACATAAACACACCCAAAGGCTTCAATGGGCGATAGAAAAGTGAGCGGTGTCCCTCTGCTTTGTTTATACACCAGAGACGGACTGATGGTGACAGAGACCAGGACTCTGGAACACGCCCGCCCAGTCCACCGGCACGCAGGCACACATAGAACAGGCTTTCCCAAACTTGGAGCCAAGACATCTCAAAAATGACTACTTTTGGGAGAAATGAAAAGTTGCGTCATCTTCCCCAAACTACATAGTGCCCATGGCACTGCGAAGCGATATGATTCCGTTAGCAACTTAGCTTCGTGGCTGGCCACTTCCTTTCAAACGGCCGGAGTTTTACAAGACTCCCCAGACGGTTCAAGCGTGCCATTGTTAATCGTTGTACTCGAAATTGGTTACGTATGAAAATGATGGCCAACACGGGGACAGGCCAGTCTATCGATTTGGTCAAAGAATATGAAACTAAGCAGACTTCAGGTATGTGTCGATACTGCATATCGCTCAAGTTGCGTTTCTGAAGAAGAAAAATGGCTCTCTAGAATATTGTACATCGTGTCGTGATCGAGACACCCTCCGAAACGCTGACTTCCAACTTTTTTGCACGACATCCATCCATCACATGCTTATGCAGATAAACGTGTGTGTGTGTGTGTGTGTGTGTGTGTGTGTGTGTGTGTGTGTGTGTGTACATTCCAGACAATAGCCTCCAACTCCCTCTCACTGTAAGGAAGAAGACTTCCAGGCCATTAACCCGCATCAGGTCCTGAATATTCGCCTTGGTTAGCAGGACTCACAAGTCACTTCCTTGCTAGATGCTCCTGTCAGACAATATCAAAAGGAATCGTTTGTCTTTTGGAAATACAACCATCAATGCAATAAACACGTTCATAACTCTCTCTTATTGTCTGCCGCATCCTGTCCTCGTAAACTCCCCATCGGGTCTTTGCACTCTCGGCAACCTCGTTTTTTTTTTCTTCTTTTATTTTGTGTTGTTGACTTTGATTTTTGGTCCTCAAGATGGACTCGGCGGGAGAAGCAACCTAGTGTGTGTGTATCTTGGACGTGTATGTGTGCGTGCGTGCGTTGGGGGGTTGCTGGGAGTTTGGGGAGGGGTCGTGATAATGGACAGAGAGCCGGAGTGCTCGGACAAAGATGGATGATGTTTTTCTCGCCCCCAGCTTCACTCACAGATTACAGTTGTTTTTCCTTGCGCGGCAAACTGCTTCGTTTTCGGTTTATTCAACTCTCCCCCCACCCCCACCCCCGCTTTTCTCTTTGAGGTTTCTGATTTTATTCTCTGTGTGACAAAACCATGTGAGATGTTTTTCCGGTGGCGAAGAGAACAATTTTGGGCTTTTTGTTGGAGCTTCTACCGGCGGACTAATTTGCAACATTTCCCCGACAACACCACCACGGATGGCAACACCGCTTTTTTTTTTCTTTTCATTGGTGTGCGCAATTGAAAAATTGTTTGCCATCGTCCTGTTCATCTGCATTGGGCCACATTGCTGAGCGTGTGGTGTGATTGAGGCTCCTATTTGCATCTATATTTGGCAAATGCGCTGTTTCAGGACAACAGAGCAAAATCAAGAATCCAACTCTGAAGTAAGAAACACAGCTCGATGTTACTCAAAAGTGAGCGTTGCGACGGCCCAACTGTTGTATGAGATGAGATGAGCCCAAGCGGCCCTTGGAAGCACCATCTGGAAGCCGTCCCTTAATGGTGACATCAGACCACCACAGTGACCTTTGACACTCAACTGGCTAATTAGCAGCGCGTCCTTCCATGAGGGCCCAGGTCCCCCCCGATTGTCTTTCTTCAAGCGAACCCCGCCGACGCCCCGACTTCCACCTGTTGCCTTGTGTCACAGCCGGCGGGGAAAGGGAGGGAATACTTTGGGCAATGATCTCACATCACTGCCAAGACTCCAGATCACTGCGCCACAACGATAGCCGAGCTGAGCTTGCCTGATCTGATGAGAAACATAAGCGAGCACGAAGTCATGAGGCAAGCTTTAGTCTTTGACCGAGTCAAGGAAACGGCCCCGCCGAAGCAAAACGGCAAAGCTCTTTGGTCTTTTCCAGCACGGGTTCCTGAGACTTTTTTGTCGGTCTCCCCATGAGAGACGAGCCCACCAAAATTCATGTCGCTCCTCCATGAAACTGGCTTTGGGGGCGGAAGATCCCCGGAACGATCTCAACTTGTCCCTAAACTGGCAAGTGGCTGCTGCAACCCAAGGTGGCAGGCAGCCTTTGCGTCCTTTTTTTTTGGTGGGCTCTGCCCACGACTGACAACTCGACCAATTTGCGTGTGGCTTCGGGGGCTGAATTTTCCCCAGATTCTGCACGGAGCTATCAAGACAATTTATTTGGCCGAAGAACAACAACGACAAGGAAGTGAAGCAATTTCACGAGGGTAAATAACGGTCGTAAAATGATGTTGTTTTTTCAGCAAACAACAGCAAGCAAGACTTTTTTTTTTTCCTTTTCCACAAGCTATTTGCATCCTTCTCCCAGCTCAGAGGGACATCATCAATCTCGCCGACTCTTATTATTACTTTCCCGTTTGAATGCAAGCCCACCCAGGAGGGAGCGGGCCTCCTCTGTTGCGATCCCTTCGCCTTCTTCGCTTCTTCTGTCCCACCATCTGCCCGCGCTATTGGCACCATTTTCACCTTTGCAGGTTGCGCGGGGAAGGCCAAACGGAGGATTGCGAGGTACCTCGTATCCATTACATCGGAGGGGGCCGAGGCGCCAGTTTGCCATTTGAGATGTGGACACCCCCCCCCTCCCCGCCCCCTCCCCGCTACGTGTCCTTGCACTCTACCCTGCGAACTGGCACACTGTGCTGAAAGTTATGAGCAACGTGTGAGCGCAAGGGGCCGCGTGCTAAGTACACGTCATCGAAGCGTCAGGAAGCTTCCGGTCAAAAGTCTCATTCGGTGGCTCGCATGGATCAGAAGTGGGAAGTCGAAAAAGGAAAATGCAGCGGACGCTGGCTTATTGTCCGCGCTCCTTTGCGTAGGTTTCCGTTTTGGCCTTTCGCCTCACCACTCGGCCAACGGCCAGTTGACGCGACACTCTTGTTGCTCGACGCCCACGTGGCTCAAGAGGCCAGGCGCCGCCTTTTAAAGCCGTCCACAGTCAAAGCCGCAGCTCCGACGGTGGAACGTGGAGGTGGCAAACCCAAGGGCTCCGAAATAAGAGTTGCACCTCGCGTGCACGTTCGGTGTCAGGCAACATGAACTTTTCCCGACGACGTGAATAATGGCTGGGATAATCCACGGACTGTTTGTCCCTCGATACGAGCACCAGGCAAGTTCATGACAGAGGGAAAGACTTGCGTACACAGAGAAAGTGCTTTCTCATGCTTATCAAAACAAGTATCGGCAGTAAAAGCGCATGACTTTTACTTGGACTCAACTTTCCACAAGTATCTGTACTTTAATTGAGTCGCGGCGCTCAACAAACAGCTGCGATTCCCAAACGGTGCCACGAATTTCACGTCATCGTCCACTTCTGCCAGGCGGAGGGACTCGAGGGTTGCGCCGTGAGGTCCGATCCGAGCTCCGGCCCCGTCCGGGTTCCAGATATCAGGCGCTTTTTTTGAGAGCGTCCAATAAAAAGCGCAACATCTGGGAGGTCCGTGCGCGTCCTTGTCTCCTCCCATCCGCGCGGGCCGCCGCCCTCGCTGCTGGCGGAGATAAAACAAAGAGGGCGGCGATGCTCTCCGCCACTCATGAGCACACCCAGGCAGCCCCCGGGAGCCCACGTTCCGAAGCCGGCCTCCGCACACCGCCCGCACCAGCGCCACCGCTCCCCGCCATGTCCACGGGCTCTCCGAGCGAGGCGGACGACGAGCTGCTGCTGGACGGCATCCTCAAGTTGGCCTCGGCGGAGAGCGCCGAGGAGAGCTCCAACGGCGAGGGGCGGGCCGCCGCGCGCCTGACGCCCGCCAAGCGGCGCAGGACGGCGTCGCGCAAGGCCGCCGCCCGCAAGGCCTCCGCCGGGGAGGAGGAGGGCGACGGCGGCGGCGGAGCCCCGCGGGAGGGCAAACAGGTGCAGAGGAATGCGGCCAACGCGCGGGAGAGGGCCCGCATGCGCGTGCTGTCCAAGGCCTTCTCGCGACTCAAGACGTCCCTGCCGTGGGTGCCGGCCGACACCAAGCTGTCCAAGCTGGACACTCTGCGCCTGGCGTCCAGTTACATCGCGCACCTGAGGCAGGTGCTGGCCAACGACAAGTACGAGAGCGGATACATCCACCCCGTCAACCTGGTGAGCCCGGCGCACCGCGTCCTTTCCGGGGTGGAAAAGGCTTCCTCGCTCGCGGCTTTTGCAGATATGGTAAAAGGAGACGAGATGTGCCGATGAAAATAAGAATTAAACGTGGAAGGACAGATTTTTTTTTAAGTAAAAAAAAAAAGTAAAAATAAGTCTCGGGTTCAAGTACATCGCTCCCAGAAAAATGTACTTGACATAGCGAGTATTTGTAATTTGTTGCTTTCCATCACTGGCATTTTGTCTTGACGCTTGTTTGCTTGCAGTCCATTTTGACGGCTATTTTGGGAATACCGCGAGTACTCAAGCGTCTTGAAAATACGATCCCTTCTTGCTTGCATTAACGTTGAGACTCAAGGACTTCTTATGGTTTCATTGGTCATGCTGTTGCTCAACCTCACTTGGAGTCAGTACGTTCTACAAAAGTCGGAAATATCAGAAGTGGATTCATTTGGAACACGAGCGAGTTATACTTGCAAGGCGCCTACGGGCTCAAATCCACAAAGAAAATACATTTCAGGCCTCGGTCAGGAGAATCGGGCATCTTGTGTCCTAATTCCAAGCGAAATATGCAAGCGCACGCGAATTGCATTTTCGTGACGCGTCATCGGTCAACGTGACATATTTTCCAATCAAATCCGACAACTATTAGCCTGCTTCTAATCCCCCAAAAGCCTGGACAGAGATCATCGCGCTCACACCGAACAACACGGTTGCAGAATATTAGCAACAGCTGATCATGCAGCTCGCGCTTTTTAAATGAACGCGTTCAAACCTGAGCTTACGGTTGGATACCTCGACAACATCAATCATAGCCGCGTGATAAATGCTTGCGGCTTGCTCAGGGAACCGGCCGATCAGCGAAGCACATACAAAAAAAAAAAAAAAAAAAAACATTGTCACATGGCTTTTGCTGTTGCAAAACGCAAATAAAGGCGTGATGTTGCACAGTACGCGGATAAAGTGAAGATGGAAAGAGTTGCTCTGGTAACAATTCATATTTGTTGCGGTATTTCCATGCAATGGATAAAAAAACGTTTCTTCTTGATGATTATGCTTTTTTTTTTTTCACCTCCACGGGAAATAAGAATAGTCAATTGGTCATCCTGAAGGCCAGTCGCTAAGGTCCAAGACAAATGGGTCAATTTGAATTTGAGGCAGATGCATTTGAACGATCCAAACTAAATCAGAGGCTAGGTTTGAATTTGAAGCCAAAGTTGAAGCGCTTGCAGCGATTTTCCGGTTCTTTCCGCGCTCATCTTGCCTTTTGCCTCCGCAGACGTGGCCCTTCATGGGCGCGGGCAAGCCCGACAACGAGTTGAAGGAAATGCTGAGCTCCACGCGCTTATGCGGCACCACCGCATCGTGACCAAACAGCAACACTTTGGATCCCTCTTTGACTTTCTTTTGTCACCTTTGGGACGAGTCAAGCCCTCGCGCGTCTCATCGCCGCAGACTTTGGAGTGGGAATAACGGCTCGCGGGGGAGGGACGTCATCCTCCTCCTGCTCCTCCTTTCGTTCCCGTAAAAAAAAAACTATTTAAATGCATTGGCTTTTGTTTGTTGAAGTCACCCTTTGTTGTCTTTGCTGGCCCAAAGACAAATGGCCTTCTCTTTGTAAAAGGTACTCTGCGGAACCTGTTTTTATGTCTCGTCAAGTCAGATGCTCTAAATATACCTGATCTATTTGTATCATTTTTGACGCTCTGCTGTCCTTTCGTGTGTGTGTGTGTGTGTGTGTGTGTGTGTGTGACCTCACCTCTGTTATCCGTGTATCCCTTTTGGGATAAGAGTCAAACCTGAGCAGATAAGTGGCAGTCTTGTTGCCAAAACGACCATGCTGGAGGTGGTTGCCTTTGCATTGGCGAACGCTGGCCTGCAAAAGAATGACGTTTAAAACAAGAAATGTGTTTAAAAAAAAAAAAAAAAAGGCTTCTACTTGGCTAGTTTGAAAACATTGAGTTAAAGGCCGAAAAGGGAAGTCGTTTTTTTTCCTTTAATGAGAGATGAAGGGGGAGAGCGGTGGGGATATGGGGGACGGGGGAATGTGCATGAATCCTGCCCACGGCGCTTGTTTTCATTCTGCTGGGTTGTGACCGGCGATGTTTACATCCTGCAGACAGTTATTTATGCCTTCTGACAAAAGGCCTCTCTCTCTCTCTCTCTCTCTCTCTCAGCTCGTTTTCCGATCGCATCCCTTTCACCGTCCCTATTTTGTTGCCAAGTACACACGCTTTGAAACTTACAGAAAAGCAAGTGTCCAAAAGTAATCCCTGCAAACTGTTCTCAGGCCAGCGGAGAATGCGGCCGTTTGGCAAATACGTTTCCCTGCAACAAGTTGGTCTCAAGCAGTTCAGGTGTTCGATTACAAAATGAAGGACGAGAGTTACTTTAGGTTGACCGTGTTCCCTATGAAGTTAAAAAATGGGGAAAAAACATCCACGATTGAAAAGCGCAGAGCAGAACGACTCCCCACTTCGCAACAGACAGAAATGTGTGAAGTCGCAACTACAAATTGTTGGTGTTATTTCGATCACTTTTCAAATGTTATTACCCTCCCCACAATCTTGTCACAGTATCTTAATACCCTGGAATGTAACGGAATGAAAGAGAATGGATGATTCTACCCATAAACTCTTGTAAAGTGTCTTTGAGTACTATGAAAAGCGCTTTCAAAATAAATGTATTATTATTATTATCATCATCATCATCCCATCCATACATAATTGGAGTACAGCAACACGTCAAAATGGATTTTGCATAATATGACACGATAAGCGTGTCATTTTTGCCCACTCGGGTAGTCTGTGACTGTAATCACCCACTTCTTATGTTCGCATTTGGTCAAAAAGTCGACGCGGCAGCAGTCGTGTCAGTCGCCAACCACCTGTGGAGGCGTAAGAAGCATACTGGTAGCTCAAGAAGCGCAAATCACTCCTCCAACGGCTCTCAAAGTCACGTACAGTCAAGGTCCATGTGTGAGTAGACTCTTTTGTGTCTGTACTAGTTAGTAGCCCAAGGCCTTTGCCCTCACTCGTAAAACAATCCAGCAGGCTAGCATGACTTACTCGTGAGGTTTTTTTTTTTTCGTGGCGACACCGTACACACCGTCAGACATTTCCTAAGATTTCTACAGCAAGTGATTGGCACCACTGTTGCCGGTCGGTTGATGCAGCCCGCCGCGGACCTTCAGCGGAATATCACCGAAAGGGCTCCCATCAAGTTTCATCACACCTCACCTCTGCAAGTCGGCGCACCGCCACAATAAAACCGACGTCACTTCAAGGGCCCTCACCTAATACATCAGCGGTGAGGTGGCAGGACCCC